AGGCAGCTCCCGTAACATATTCTTTAAAGATTTTTAGAAAATCTAATAGCTTCGATTACTCATTATATAATTAAAAAAGAATTAAGGCTAATACTATAAGATCTTTTGCTTTTAGGATTGCTTTTTTTGATATAATTACCTTATTTTGTATTCTAGATTATTTATTCTGATTATTAAGGGATATTATAAGATATTGTTTTTTATTCTAATTGAATATATAAATAGTATTAATTGTATCTTAAATAGTAAAAGGATTATTAAGTAAATTGAATTCTTTAACTCTTTTTCCAGAATTGGTTAGCTGATTGGTTGATAGAATAGGGCTAGAGATTTCGAATTGAGGGTTTTCAGAAGCAAGGAAAGACTTGAAGATATTAGAATACTTAGAATAATAATAGAATAAGTGTTTGATATAATAGAGGCTTTAGAAGAAGCCTTTATTATAATTGTATTCCCAAATATTGATGGATTATTGAGATAATTTATAACGTAACGTATGGGGAACTCGGACATATGGGGAACTCGGACAGGTACCTTTACACCAAATTTTGTATGTAAAGGTACTTAGAGCGACTTTTTATATCTCTATGGATATTAAAGATAATTTAATTTTTTTTGATAATTAGGCTTAATATCTAATAAAAATATAGTGTTAAAGTTACAAAACACTTTTTAATAATATTGCTCTTGAATTAATACGATTTTAAAAATTCCCACAGTAATTTTTGTTAGATAAAAACGACAATTTGAAAGAAACTTTAATATCTTTATTAAAAAAAATTACATCTCTATAATATTTTGTCATATTAAATATTTATATTGAATATATCATACCTCAAAATATCAAAACTATATCTCTACTATTTCTAGAGATATAAAAATTCGCTCTAAGTACCTTTACATACAAAATTTGGTGTAAAGGTACCTGTCCGAGTTCCCCATATGTCCGAGTTCCCCATACGTTACGTTATTGAAAATCTTATTTTTATTTTGATAATTTGAGATAAAAATTTTATACAAATTTTTATATATATTTTGTATTTGGAATATTGATAATAGTATTACAACAACTACTGGTTAGAATCACTTAAAGACAATTACAATTAATTTGGTTTAATAATTATAATCTAAATCGATCACGAAAGGATTGTATTTCGAAGAAAAAGTTTCCTTCGAAATTTGTTGTGTGTGATATATTTAGGGAGATTGAATGTGTATGATGAGATTTTGTATATATAATATATTTAGGTAATATATATAGATAGATGTAATTTGGAATGTATGTGTGGTTGGGTAATATATATGTGTGTATAAATAGAAGTTATAGGGAGGGAAAAGGGGCGAATGGGGGGGAAGGGAAAGATGAGGAAGAGTAAAGGAAAAGAGGAAGAGGAAAGGGAAAGAGGAAGAGGAAAGGGAAAAGGGAAAGGGGGGAATTAGAATACTAAGATGTTGATCTAGATGATTAGTATCTCTGATTCTGATTGTGAAGAGGGAAGAGGAGGGAAGAGGAGGGAAGAGGATGGAAGAAGAAAAAGGAATTCTAGTATGCTGTACTTGGCAGAGAGAGCAGAGAATAGGAGAGTAGAGGATAAAAGAGGACAAGAGAGGATACAGTAAAAGAAGATAGGTGAATGGAGTAAGAGAAAGGAAGCGAGATAAAATGAGCCGAGGAAAAGTATGATCAAATGAGATAAGAGTAAGAAGTGAGGATGAGAAGTGAGGATGAGAAGTGAGGATGAGAGGTAAGGTATATATATGTACACAATAGTGACTTTTCGAGAGCTGGAATATAGATCAAGACTAAGATTAAGATTACGCTTGACATTAACATCAAAATCCACAATACATAGTTCATATTTTTTACTTCAAATTTTACTTTACACTTTTTACTTCACACTTTTTGCCTTTACATTTTATATTAATACTTCATATCTTGTAAACTATGTATATAGATACATAGCTAGCCAACTCGAACTGATCTATATATGATTCTGAGAGGATCTATTAATGGCGATGCTATGTGAGTATAGCAGCATCTGGGAATGGAAATGAGATTCAGGAATGGAATGGGATTTAGTGTGAGAGTTAGAGATTGTATATTTTGTTGAAATAATGAACGATGAAGTCATTCATTTGTCTTATCCTGTCGTATGCGATGTTGTCTAGGTGTATGCATATGAACACGCATCTGAGTTTATTGAAATGAATGTATATTTATAGGTTTATAGGTTTGTGTTATTTAATAGATGGATTTTTTAGAGGATATTAATACTAAGTAATGGGTTTACTAGGATGGATATTGAGATATGATGATGAGATCATAGGATATAGTGACGTCTCGATATAATGGATAGCATGTGTAACGAGGAATTATATTTACTTTAAAGACATTTTTTGTTTAAGGATGATAATAATACATGTATATATATTGAGATAATCTGAGAGATGAATAATTATATATCCCTAATCATTTCACACTATAGGATTACATTTTATATTGTTTTTAAAGTAATATATATATTCCAGGTGCGTTTTAGATCATGATAAGAGCATTCTAGATCAAATTTCTCAGGTTTCTCATGTACTTCTCATTGTATGTTTAATATTGTCTCGGTGATGGATATATTCGGTTCTTCAAGAAACTCTCGCGACTATTATTGTATGTGTTGAATCTTAATAATAAGAAAATCTATTACTTATACCGTCTCCTGTGATGTTACAGTATATCAATATTGAAGTTGAAATGGAAATCGATGAAGGGGCTTAAGCGATGAGGATGAGAAGTTGGTAAGGTATATATGTGATATAAGAACGAAGTGTCCATTGAGAGAGCTCTGAATCGTAGGTGAGATTGTCGAGAAGATCTGGATGTATATATATCTTTTATACGAGGTGTTTTGTGTTGGTGGGTGAAGGATTGAGATGTAAGAGTAGTGTTTTTGAGCCTACGAGAAAATTGACTGAGGTTTTTTGCGGATGTGTTGAGATGCTGTAAGGGGTTGTGTCGGGTCAGGTTGTAGAGTTATGAGATTAATATATTGTGTTGGTATTGTATATTGAGATTCTTGGATGCTGGGGATGAGAGATGTTTAGTTTTCTTTTTGGGTGAGGAGGAGATGATGTGGGGGGGGGGGGGGGGGGGGGGGGTACCTGGTAGAAGATAAATGGAAAAGAGAGGAAGATTATGAGAAGTAGTAAATGAAAGAAAGAAAAGAATGAAAATGGAAATGGATATTTAGAAGTAATGTTTGTAATGTATGTCACAATACAGGTAGTTGGTGAGTGTTAGAAGTATTGAAGGTGCTGAAGGTACCAGACATAGTGAGATTACAGAAATGTGGGAGACATCAGATAAATCAAAGACGTTAGTATTCGGCTCTTCAAGTGGTACTTTAGTAACTAGTCCACCACCCGAGAAGCTACGAAAGATATATTTTAGAGCCTACGAGAACTCATCGTGCCGAATATTTTGCGGAAGATTTTGTATGCTTCCGAGGTATATACTAAATCGGTGATGTGGTTACATAGTCTACGTATCGCAATGGTGTTACATGACTTGAAGCTTTTTGATACTAGGTAGAGGGGACGCGTTCCTCTGTCTTTCCCTAATGAATCAAAGGAGAAATGAAAGAAGAAGGAGACAGAATGGTTCCGATCCCTGAGATAGATTCTAATTCATATGCAACGCACATTAGATCTTTTACTTGGTAAGGAAGAGGATCGAATAGATTGGAAAGATGCTCGACCGCGACTCAGATTGGGAATGGATATCCTTTGTATTGGAGTATTATTTGTCCAAGTGTGTATGTTTTAGAGCGTCGAGTAAATCATTGAAACGCGTTGTTGTATTTGTATGCTCCGAGAAGTGTGTCTTCTACACTAGAGCATTTTGTGAACTTGTATGATGCTATATATTGCATTAGTTTATATGTTGGAGTCCTTTGACGCTGAGAGGGTAAAGGATTTTCTTTTTCCGTTTTCCTTAGTCAATGTAAGAAATTGATGAATATGCTGTGTAACATAGATAGTCGTCAAGACCCTTGACCTTAAGATTGGGATGGGAGTATGTTCAAATCAATGTTCGTTCGTATACACAGTATTCAATGAGATTGTTAGATGAGTAAGTGTAAATGGCTCGTGCAAACCGACGTCTTGGAGTCAGACAGCTTCACCATGTAGGTTTCATGTCTGGGTGTCGCATATGTCGCCTTATCAATCGTCGAGAATATTTCAAGGGCCTAGATACAGTTGCCAGATACATATCGTTCTGACAATCTTCAATTAAAACCCTTTGTCGGATGTTATTGCAGGTGTACGGAGGCTTTTATTGTAACTACTATCGTATTGAGACCTGCACTATGGATCAAGTGAACGTATATCACTTAATGACTGGTGTTAGCAAGTGTACATAACAGACAGTGAGTCGCCTCGGTAGATACCGAAACACGTACCTCATAGTGTTCTATTCTCCTGTACCTTATCTTCAATCATGGACTCAGTATCAGTGCCAGTACCGGTGTCAGTACTAGTGTACTTGATCCTGGACTATCGAATGTAGAGATATGAACATACACGTAACCCAACTTTTCTATGCATCGATGCATTGATGCATTCATACATTAGTAAATTCATACATTCAACATCTTATTACCATTCGAATATGTATCCTTGGATCATAATCAGATACGAAGTGCTGACTAGCCATATTTCAGGTGGCGTGGGTGACAGTTTTGCATCCTTGAATTGACTTGTCATCGTTCACTCCACTCCAATAGCTCGAAGAGCCAATTAGACAATAGATACCCAGTAAGAAGATCGAAAAACAAGAAATATCATGGTATCAGTTCCCTTTCGCCCCTTTAAGTTCACCCACTCGGTCGGTACTTACTTTGGGGTCTTAAGATCCAGAGGGTATATGTCTAGCATATTTTTTCCGGGGCAGCATTGTAAGAAGAACTTGGAAACCCGAACAAAGAAAGGACTCCGAGGTTGATGTAAACATATTTGATATTAATAAATGCTTTATATGTAGCTCATCAATGCTTCTTCAACGAGCATTTCTTGTATCTTATGCCGACTTGTTGATCATTGTCGGCTACCGGACACGTGCCATGTCTACTACACCTTTCACTTCACTCGCCATGTACACGTTAATAAGGTATCACCTAGATACCTAGTAGGTACACCAACATCAATTCCTACACCTACTCCTCCACTTGCTCCTTCACCCATATAAATTCCTTTTCGCCATCATGGATTTGTATCAACTATGGCCGCTTCGATAAAAGGCGTACTATGCCTTGATGAACCGGCACCTATGTCATCAAAAGATATCGATTCACACTATCAGATTTATCGTCAAATTCATTCATTTCCACCAAGGAAAATGTATTTCATTATTCGCCACCCTCAATTCAAAATTTCCTCCCAAACCTCGAGATATATCATCAAATTGGACTTTCCCGGCGGCCATTTTTGCAAGACATTCATCCAGTCATACATAGAATATACCAAAGAATCTTCCTCAATTTGAACCTGGAACACCAATAGACTGATTCCGGCTGATCCTCACTTCCATCGTTCTATTATTTTTCAAATCAGATCCGGCAGGCTTCCTGAATTTCGAGCTATCAAATGCGCCACGATGATTTTGTTGGTTAATATCGAGCTACAACTGTAGAGAGGACACAGCAAGCCAAAGTTTTCATTCTTACTAGTCGTTCCAGACGATGCGCATTTCAATATTGCGATGGACGGTGGAAGATGGTCGTACAAATAGATAGCAATTTGCTGGAAATCCCTAGAGAGCAACCACCGGCAGATTTGCTTTTGTGAGGAATATCATCTTCATCTTGGCTTCATGTTCCAGGCGTATCAACCAGAATTTCATCGACGGCGTCAATATCAGTTGAAAAAATTTCTTGGCGGACGTCTCCAACAGTGCGGTTCTGGACCAGAATCAGGATCTTTTTTTTTTGGTGGAACGGACGAAGTTTTGAATAAGCAACAACACATCATACATTTCAAACTACAATTTGCGAAAAACATCCTCACCACAAAAACCTAGGATTAACAAAAAGCACCCCCCCTCCCCCTTGCTCCAAAGAAAACTATCAATTTGTGTTATGAGTGTGCAGATTTAGAATTCGCATCAGGTTCTGGGCACCCGTTTCTTCGACTGAAGTTTGGCGTAAGAGTGGTGGTCTGTGGAAGACCTTGGGATATCCAGCAGTGGCATGCATCATCCATCTAGATTTAAAATCAGGACGCATCCTTCTTCCCATCGCTTCAATTGGCAGAGCATAAGCGGTACTTCCAAATGCGTTGACAGCATCGTCTAAGGGAAATCTCGACATGCGATGACTGTGGCGAAATAGATCTTCAAATTCGTTTGGCAGTGGAATCAAGAATCTCCTTGTATTTTCCTGAAGCATTCCCATAAAGACGCTAGCAACAGGAAAGCTACTATTGGACTCTGTCAAAATATCAGTTGCTAGTCTAATGTATGCCAGGGCATCTTTTCCAGAGTTTTTATCAGTTTCTGGAGATGATTGAATCAAGACATCGGTCAAATACAACATGGCGAACATTTGGGAGACTGGCTGGTAACGAGATGTGTAATGAAAGTGATATCGTTCGACAAGAAGCTTGAGCCCTTCCTTTGCATGTTGCCTAACCAGTGCATCCAGCTGAGGTTCCTTGAAACCTAGTAGTGGGCTTAGGACATAGACTGCCGTCGCGGCATATAGTATACTGAGTAGTCAGTTGATGATCTATGGCAGGACTAGGAGCAGACAACAAAATACTGAGCTTACTGCAGTGAATATACATGCGGTAACCTTTGAACTTCTTCTCCATATATGATGGCGATATCTCTTGGTAGATCTTCATACCACGTTAACAATCTGCGATAAATGGCCCACAACGCTTCAGCAGATATCAGAGGCCCAGTTGTGTTAGACAGGAGTATCGTAGCTTCGCGGATGATATCAACGAGCTCCATTTTTTTGCGATTTGTGGTTGCCGTCAGACAAGGGAGTGTCGTTCCTCTTGTGTGGTCTGTAGGAAATCGATACGGCGCCCACCTGAGATCGTCCACTTTAGCCTCCCATAAGCTTATTTCCTGAGCCGATTGAGTTGGCTGCAGATCTGGAATGTAAGCTGGTGCCATCGTGAAAGTCATCTGGGCCCACTCGCTAAGAGTGTTAGTTGTGCCTTTGGTAAACTTGTGTTGGGTGGGAGACTGGGTACTCACACATTCAGGCTATTTAAACCTTTGACCGTTTCCCTCCAGATTTGTCGATAATCGATGCTATCTCTATCGCTTGGTCTGAGGCTCTCCATAGATCTACTTGCGATGGTCAAGTATACCGAACCACTAAGCCCTTTTCCTTGTGCGCAGCGTACCAAGAACATGACCGCAAATGCTTGGATATTCGTTAGACTACTGTCTTGCGGATCGATGTTATTCCTAACCAAATCAGAGAATTGGGCGCCCATTCGTTTGTAGTCAATGGTATCTTCATCAGCAATTGTGTGGAGATAGCATGCCATAGCACAGATGGCATTAAACAGACTGTGCGAGCAAAACTTGTCTGATCCTTGGCGCATACTTTCCACAAAGTGACCTTCATTGAACAAAGGGTAGAAGGGATGGACCCATGTGAAATATAGGGAGATGAGGTGGTCGATAACTTCATCATCGTCTGTCACTGTTGTCCATGAAGAATCATTAGGTGAATCACAGTCGAGTTCGTTGCTCGAACCTCCATATATAGATAGCTGTGACTCACCACTGCTTTCTATGGATCCCAACCAACTGGCTATCTCCGTGATTGACTCTCTATTCTTAATGCGCTCGAGGATATCATGCTCGTTTTCGGTGTTGTTCGCGAGCCATGTGAAGATCTTTTCTGCTTTGTGTCTGATGTCATGGCTCTCTTTGAGATCCCTCACCAGCATCGTCTTCGCGTTCTTAGTATGTGGCTCGTAAACGCAATCTTCTTGGTATAAATTTCTCTTGCTAGTACAGCGAGTGCAAGGTTGTTTACCATCACACTGGGTGAGCTTTAGTTATCAAGTGTCCATGCTGGGCTTCTTACTTTCATTGCTGCAGTCAAAGAATATCAAAATCGCTTACCTTCGCTCTAGCTTTCTTACAATTGACACAAGCGTTTGCGGTGATTGATGTCGGAACTTTCCTCTTCTTTGCGATGGGACCTGCACTTTCTGATCTCTTATCGAGGGATGCAGGGGTTGTATGACTACTGGAACCTGTTGTTTCCGGTGTGTTGTTCTTATTCTTCGAAGAATCGCTTGAACTGCTATTTTTCATGGTGGTATCCATATCGCCGGGAAGAAGAGTGCGAAAGTTTGAACCCGACATTGCGGAGTCGATTAGATGGAGAGTCAAGATGTGAATATGATCGTATCTTAGACTTAATATAGATATGCGAAGAGATTAGATTACTATGGCAATAAGTAGAATTGTCGTTGGAAAGGTAATAGACGGAGAACAGCTCCGGGTCAAGTATAAAACTGGTGATAGATCGAGAAGTAAACAAGGCTAGATGATCTCTAGAATAGGTCGCACCATTTACAAACCCGTTTCTAGATGACATTGGTCAGTAACCCCGGGCATATATTGCATGGTGTCCTAAAATAAGAAATATCAGGTTGCAGACAATAGACGTGGGGCATAAGAGGCGTTGTCCTCATCTCGAATTGTCTGTCGCATCGGTGAGAAGTATGGGGGGGTAGCGGGGATGACGAGGATGGCGAGGATGGTTGCATTGGTTTGCTGATCTGAGAACAGCCTGTTCGAAAGATTAGGGATTCATCTCAACCATTCAGATGAAATCCAAACTTTCGTCGGTACTGGTATGTTGTATCATGAATGTTTTGGAGAAATGTTTCGGTTAGAGCCTAGAGAGCGCCGTTTGCTTGCAGCCTGTGGAAATCTCAAGAATACTCAATGTGCTTGTAACGAATGAAGTGTGTAGATTGCCAGTATTATTTCGATACTGGTGACTACTGGAAGGTTAATATGAACAGCAAGAGGTATATTTACCACTGATCGCGCTTAAGCAAAGGCTAAACGCCGCAAGATTGAAAAGCTAATAACTGTCTTCTAGCTTGTTCTGGAGACAATTGTCGATTAGATGAACGGTAGGCACTATGCGACCGGTCCCAGATAATGTCAAAAATATGTGGGGAGTCTGATGAAACTGAACGGAACATCCAGGGAGGCTGATTTGAATCTAGAAACTTCGATGCGGCTTGCAACGTGGACTACTTCGAAAGTCGTTATTTTAAAGATATCTCCAATTTTCTAGGGGCGTGTTCTAGTAAAACATTTCAATACAACCTCACCATTATCACGATCGTATCATTCAGGAATAAGACGGCATACATCACCGAGAAAAAGACATTGATTGATCTTGTTCAGAGCGACAATATTATATGATGTTACTTGAAGTACATTGAGTGATGTTGCGGCAGGCAAACAATGAGCTTCGGAGCTGAACCCGCCTCCGTTGTTGGATCATCGAGCGACTCAACATACAGATACTTTATTCGTCCTGAACCGCGTCTGTGAACGGCGAATATGTGTATTGGCACGAAAAGGGAAACTTAAGCGCCCCGAAATTGTTACTGATATTAATACGGCCTTCCCGTTTGACTAAAATGACCAGCATGACAATACATGAGGCTGTAGCTCTCCTAAATCAGTATCCTCGAGCATAAGATACAGCATAGGAAACAGCATATGCGCAATTTCCAAGTTCAATATTCTGGAACTCTAGAATATAACGAGAAATACTCTGCTTTACAGTTTTAGCAGCTAGCGCCTGAATCTTCAAATTAGTCTACTGACGAGCCTGGAACATAGCATTCCTCTTGTACATTTCTCAAGTCCCAAGAGCTGATCCCATTCGCGATTCTGTAGCTTGTCACGATATCTATCACAAAGCTTCATGTGGCCCTGTAAATACACACTATCATTAAGACATCTATTAAGTCTTTTAGATAAGGTAGGGGCACATGGTGACTAAACTTTAAATTTCAAGTTACAGTATAGATTAGATCGTAATACTTCAGTACAGCGTATAAATGGCCTGTCGCGTTTATAGAATTTCGTATATACGAAGAATAGTTCCGTAGAATGGGGATTGTGGGCTGATCGTAGGTCAAGGGTGTGAGTGCATGCGCCCTTGCCACTATGGTACTGGCGGAAGCGACGCACATACATGATATCTGTGTTTGTCAAAGTCGTCTGATATTGCCGAGTATAGATTAGTAGTATTACATGCAATACGACCGTGAATTAGATATCCTGTCGTCAATTGCAGAGTATGTCTAGCTGTAACTGTCAGTGGAGGGGATTCCGAGAAACTTCATTTATCCGGAAATTCTGTTGGGCATAACGACGAGTAAACCAATTGTTGGGTAGCGCGGTGAGGGCAATTGCAGTCCCGGGCTGCAGGCCTTAAGCAAGCCCAGCTTAAGCAATATTATGCACTGCCATGCAGTAGATTGGGGGAAGGGTCCGTATAAAGCAATCACGATGAGAGTGGATCAGAAGGTCCGACGAGGTGGGATCGGAGAATTTATCGGGGGTGAGCTCCTGAAAGTTGAAACTTGATAGGACGTGAGCGACGTGAACCATCATTAGTTTGAAGTGTCAAGTGGCCCTTCGAGCTCAGCTGAAGTTTGCAGAAGGGAAGCTATGAGGAGGGGGGATAGTCAATCGGAATATAGCGATTTGGAATTTCAAATCTCGAATCAGCGAGTTATTTTACATTTTATTTCATCATGGTGTGTCTGAGAATAATGGAGGATTATTTCATTCGATTCAATTTGATATCTGGGAATGGTGCAATTCCGATTTGATGTGGTTGTCTGAGGGTTTGCTTATTTGTGGAAACTCGATATCGTCGCGGAAACGGAGTTTCCTCCGATGACAAGGACGGGGGCGATTTCGGATATGATTAGATGGTAGGCTTAGGAGATGCATCCGATGGGCTATCAAAACTTGAAGTTTTCAATATTGAATCCGAGGTTCTGTGGGAGTGTTCATTGACAGAATAGTCGATTTAGCATTTGTAGATCTGTAGATTGAGTTTTGCGATTAGATTTTGAAAGTCGATAGATTTTTAGCTTCGAAGATTGATTTAAGTGAGGAGGGCGAGCTAATCACCGTTGAAAGCCATTTCTTTGTTTGAATTTGCATTGTTCCAAACGCATTGCTGGCTCTTCGAGTCTGGTGATCTGAGTAGATATAATAAGTGGGTGGATGGATTATTGGCCCAACTGGAGGGGAGAAAATGTACCTTTCTGAAAGCAGGTCGGTCGGTACCTAATGCTTGATACAATGCAATACAACGGGAGATAGACTCCTTGAACTTGGTTGAGAACTTGAGATGGCCCGTCAACTCTACGAAGAAAGAAGGGAGTTGATAAGAATATGAGTAATAATAGGTGCTCTAAGTACCGGTAATACCATCATCCGGATTTCAGAAATAACACATTAGCTCGTGGGTCCATTTTCGGATTCATCTTAGATATTGATAGCCGGCTCCGATGGATCTGTAGCTATGTGGCGCATGATTTTCTGGTGATTGGAAAGTACTAGGTAGCTCGAGTGTCTTATCTCAATATTCAGACCCTCTTCGTTAATAGAACATATTTCATTGAATTCTAAATAATATAATATCTTGATCTTTTTATAGTAATATTATGATTGACTAATAATCTAATTTTTTCAACCAATTAGAAATCGGGGGAATATTTATCTCCTCAAAAATCTAAAAATATTTAGTTATGTTTTTAATAAGGAACTAATGTCATGTGACGATTGCATCATTTAGAATACTAAGGTGAAGAGCTAGAAGAGCTCTTCGGAAGGAAGTGGTAATATACAGGATTGTGGATCACGTGAGGACCTAGCCGATCCACTAATATGACAGGATCGTCACATGTCACGGGGTTGACACTAGCTCATTCTGATCACCTGATTCTTGTCCTGTTCTGTTATATATGTGAGAGTAAGATAGAACTTCTAGTTCTATTTTTTAGTCTTTTAGCTTTGTAATTTAGTAATAAAGCTTTTGAATATTTTCAAAGGTATTTGTAATATTAGATAAAATTATTTTAGATTATAAATAGAATTGTATAGGGAACCTTATTTATAGCTTATAAGTTTTTATTAATTTGAGGGTTAGTATATATAAATCTATCTATTTCCTTGTTATTGGATAATAAGATTTATCTATTAAAAGAAGGAGAGTAGTATTATAGGATTGATATTAGCTTATTCTGATTATCTGATTTCTGTTCTGTTTTGTTATATATGTGAGAGTAAGGTAGAATTTCCAGTTCTACCTCCTAGTCTTTTGGCTTTATAGTCTAGCGGTAAAGCTTCTGAATGCTCTCAGAGGTGCCCGTGACAACTAAATCTATTTGATGAAAATATTTTAATAATATATATTATTCTTTCAATTATTATTTGTTAAAAAACTAATTAATATATTTGAGAGAGCTTAATTAATATTATTATATAAATCAGCTTTAAATTGATTAAAATTATAATGATATTATAGTTTAATTAGGATTTTTTTTAAAATTAGCTAAGTTATTTTCAATAATTTTATTCTATTAATACTAATATTAAGAATAATATTATGTCACGAGAGAATATGCCTATATAAACCCAATTAGCTTAACACTCTTGGTGATATCTGTCACGGTGTGAGCTCACGTGATATGCTGGTCCTATCGGAGAGGATCGAAAGGAGCGCTCGCACCGGAGCGCAAGCGAGCTAGGGCCCGATCGGGCTAGCTCGCTGTGAAAATTCCGTATATCTTCAACTCAGAAGATCCTGTATTGTAGCTCTTTGAACTACATTTTAATCCTCAATCTGAATCTATTATCCGAATTAGTATAACTTTGCCAGATTAGGGCAAAGTTATTAGAACCCTATCCCGCCCGCCTACCCCGTAATACTACATAGCTCCTACTCATTAAAACATTACTTTCACAATAACTGCTCCGCACCCGCCTGACCGGTTTGGGGACTCCTCAGAATTTGGCGCTTTTGTATCGGAGGATCCCCAGGTTTGATACTAATACCTCCAGTCGGTATCTATATATTATACTGAACTGAAGGAGACCAACAAATCGCTTGAACACGAAATTTCCGAATCCCTAGTCCGCAAATGTATTCAAACCGCTCTGCACAAACAGGTTGCTACTCAAAACACTTGTCTACTCGATTGCCTTACCGAATCCATGCCTACTATATCTACTCGTTTGAAAACTGTATCCCCCAAAACTCTTGCTGACTCTATCCCCAAACCTATTGTATTTGCTCCGATCACTCGATTGAATGAATACATCCCCAATCCAAAAGAATTTGATAGTATTCACTCCAACTTGTATAAATTCGTTCAATAAATATACAGAAAATTGAATACAAATAATAATAGATTTCTGACAACTTCTACCCGCTTAACTTACACTGTTAGAAGACTTACTGAAAAGGCATACAAGCTTATACTATCTAAGATCTCCCGTGGGATTCCTCAGTTCACCGATTATACCGCACTCCTCGAATATCTCGAAAACACCTTTGAAGATTCTGATCGAATACAAAACGCACAGAATAAACTATATATACTGAAGCAAAGACACCTCGATTTTAACACCTTCTTTACGGAATTCCAGAGACTTGCTCTAAAAGGAGAGATACCTGATAATACTCTAACCCTGCTTTTATTTCAAGGAATCTCTTGCGAACTACAAGACATACTGTTATATAACCCCACTCCGACCTATGAATTTCATCAATACGCTAACCACTTACAACAATTCGATAATCGATTCCGTCAATATCAACAACAAGTCCACCATATTCGTTCTATTGTTTTCGAAACTTCGCTTTGGAGAATAATCGCTGTTCTGCTTCTACGACTCGCTAGCCCGAAGTCTACTCCTAGAGACCCAATGGATCTGAGCTTAGGAAAAAAGGAATACACTACTAGGAATCTGGGTTTGCGGTAGGAATATGGTAAATGCTATCGCTGTGGCTCTGCTAGCCATCTGATACAAGACTGCCCGCATTCCGATACTCATTCTGTTCAACTCCGAGTTACTACTACTACAACCAGCCCTACGAAAACCAGCCCTGTATTGAACAGTCCTCCGAGAGACCAAGTCCCTATCCATTTCCCACCTCGTTTTCCTCCCCGCTTATTGACCAGCTCAATCAATTCGGAAAACGGGATATGCCTAACCTAAACCACGATCAGAACGATCCTCTGTGTACCCTCCGCTTATCTGCTACTACTATTCATAGCCTTTCTTTGAAAGATGAACTAAACAATTATGCGGATCTAATAATTCTATCTGTTTACCCTGTTTTTGGAAAAGATACTCTTCTGATATATATTATAATCGATAACGGATGCGAAGGAATTGCCTTTACAGATCGAAGCTGAATGTCTTCCCAGAAAATATCAGTACATCA